CTAGTATTTACTTTTGTTTGGGGCCGAGGCCATGCTGAAAAGATCAAAGACATAGTCCCTGTTCTCAGGCACACAGTTATGTTGAACCTTAGAACATGACAGAGGCTAAGACCGGCACTGTGGGTGCGCTGAGGGCTCCTTCTAACCTGGCCAGGACTCGGGAGTCAGGGAAGAGCAATAGCAATGAACTGCTGTGATAAGAAGTGAGGGAAGTAGTCTTAGGGCCAAGGGAAGCAGTAGCAAAAGGCAGAGACTGTGGGGAGGGTCGGAGTGTGATGTGTCGGTAGTCCAGTGGCTAGAGCAGAGTGTGAATGCCGGAGCTGGAACTGGAGGTGGAAGACTAGCACAGGTGGGACACGAAAGCCTTTTGTGTGGTATTACCCTGAGGGCGACAGGAATCCAGGAAGAATTTGAAGTCAAGTGTGACCAGTCAGATCTGTCCCTTTCCTTCCTTCCTTTACCACACCCCCACCTCTCATTTGTGTAAATCTTTCTTCAAAGAGCGTTGGATCTGCCAAGGTTTACAACAGAACCTTCATAAAATCTTTCAAGATCACCTGGTCAAAAGTAATTTCCTCTGCTCATATCCTCCTCCAAGCTATTTATGCTTGAAACTCGAAAATCATAAACTTTTAAAGCCACCCTAGAACAGCATTATTAAAACTTTTTAATTGCAGTTTTCTAACACATCTTCATTATTGCGCATTCGTTTCTAAACTTTCAAATAATATGTAGCCTATTTAATGGTTGAAGTCACAGTATATATACAATTTTATTTTACATTACACTATATGCTGTACTTTTTTATTCTTCATTGTTAATCATTTTAATGGGTATAGTATATATTTTCAACCATTCTAGTAGAATTGGATATGACTTTTAGCTCTCAGTAGAAAATACCACAACTTTCACGTGATTCTCCTTTTCCTGTTGGATCTAGTATGCAAAATCCTCCAGATTTGGGTTGCTGAAACAACGAGTTTTGAATGCTCTCTGACCTGGCCCTCAGCCCTCCCCAGTCAGGGAGGGAAGTTGTTCTTTGGTAACCCGATTGTCCTTTCCGTTCTCACTGTCAGAGTCCAGCCTGCCCTTTATACCAGGATTCTTGAAATCTTTTTGCTAACTGGTTTCCTCAGTTTTCACTGTTGTCCTTTTTAATTTATCTTCTCATCCTGCCAGATTAATTGTCCCCAAACCCTGCTTTGAATAAAGGACTCATTCTTTCAGCAAAATGTTTGTTGACTGCATGCCCTTAGCCAGATATTAAACTGCTTAGCTGACATTCAGAGTCTGAACAGTCTCCCTCTTTGCTTTATCCCAGCCAGCCCTCTGGTCAGCACCTGCTCTGTTCACTATCTCCTGGACACGCCGTGTGCGTACAGGCCCATGTCTGGACTTTTGTTTTAGAATAAGCTGCTGTTTAGGATCCATTTTGCTTCCTTTTCATTTAACTTGGCCCTTTTCCACAAGCTTATCTCTAGCCCCTGCCCTCCCGCCACAAAGTCTCTCAACTTTTTCAGTCTTCAATTTTTGCCCTGCCTTTAAGTTCAGGGACCATATTTTGGCATTATTTGCCTCATTTGCCAATTAACGTATATAACCTTCTATAATTATTTATATTCGACAATGTATTCCTGTTTCAACTAGATTATGAGGCCTTTGAGGAAAAGGGCAGGATCTCCGTCTTTGGTCTTTGCTTACAAATTCAAAGCCCTGCCCATCACAGCTGGACCAAGAATGTTCTTATTGGCTCTCATTCACCAGATAAAGTAAAAATCTCTTGACATTTAAAACTAGGACGGAATATTTGGAGGGGAGAGAGGGTACTCTGACTTCCATTTGCTCCCTAACATCAAATGTCTGACTTACTGGGAACTTCCTGTCCCTAAATACACCATGCCCATTCTTACATCCATGACTTTCTTAGGTTTGAACAGCTTTGTGTTTAAAAATTTTATTTATATTGAGGCCAAAGGACCCAATTTATTTTATATTTAATATTTAATTCATGGGTGACCCTAGACATTTTACTTAAATAAAATCACTGTCTTTTTAAAGTAATACAAAAAAGATAATTTTAAATGCTAATGGCTCCAGGCACTTGCTCTCCCAGGCATTCCCCTTATGGTAAGCAGCATTACCTAGAGCAGAGGTTCTCAACCTTCCTCATGCCAGACCCTTTAACACAGTCCCTCATGTTGTGGTGACCCCCAACCATAAAATTATTTTTGTTGCTACTTCATAACTGTAGTTTTGCTACTGTTATGAATTGGGCGACCCCTGTGAAAAGATCATTTGACACCCCCCTCCCCCAAAGGTCACGACCCACAGGTTGAGAACCGCTGACCTAAAGGCTTTGGTGGGTCCTTCCAAGGGCCTTAAACACAGATGGACTATTTGGATCTTTAAATGTTACTTCTTGCCCAGCCAAATGGAGCAGTACTGCATGCCAGCAGTTCTTAGAGTGGTTCAGGGTCCTTGGGGATGCGGACAACCCTCTGGAGAACTCTGCAAGCACGGCTGTTCATAATCACGGCCATCACCAGTTGCCTTCAAGTTAATTCCGACTCATAGCGATCCCAGGTGTGTCAGCGGCTGACTGTTCTGTATTTGCCTTTTTGCACAGGTTGACATTAGTTTGCACTGATGGAGCAAAGCAGTGATGGAGAAAACTGCCGTCACTATAGCACAATTCAAGGCAATGGCACCAAACCCTTTGTTATTACATTCTTTCCTGCAACACACATGCAACAAACAATGACACTTTCCGTTTAGAATATCCTTCATGAAAGTGTAAAAACGTTTTTTATTAAATTGAACCCTTGAAAACACTTAAAAAAATAAACTTTCTTTATTGTGATGCATGCCCTTTTCATCTTCTCTGTGACTCAGCGGGATGGTGTCTCAGGAGAAAGCACCTGTGCGGCTGTCTGGTTTGTAAGCCCAACAAGCTTCTTGGAAACGCCATGGAACATCATTTATACTTGAGAGAGCTGCTAGCAAACTGGTAATTCAGACTTGGGTATCTGACAGACATTTTCCTGAAAACAAAGTGAGCCTGTCGTTTCAGGAAAACAGTTGACAATACTTACTGCTAGTGATAACATCCACGCTTTCAACTGAACAGGAGGCCCTCTAGTAGTTGGTGGTGAAACATGCAGCTAGTTGGAGGATCTAGCCCACTCACCAGCGGGGGAGGATAATGGGGCAGTCTGCTTGTGGCTTTGGAAGCTGGAATTCTGAACTTCTGTCTGGCATATGTACTTGACAGCTTCCCAGTACCTACATATTCTTCTTTAGTGGTTAATGATTTTAAAATGTTGGATAATGACATAAAATAAGAATGTAAAAGGGGTTATGAGATAGTTTGAAGATGGCTGCTCTACAAATTATTATGCAACTTGGTATATCATGAATAGCATTTAAGATCTAACATTTTTAATAATAGTGTGCTTCACTGAGTGAATCAAATCTAGTTAACCTTTCTTCTGGTGATGGCCATTCAAGTTTTTCCAGCCTTTTTTCTAACTTAATGATATGGCAACAAATATCCTTGTATAACTGGTGTTTTTACATCTAGATAGTATTATATTCTGTAGTATAAATCCAGGCGTAAAGTTGGGCTGATTTTCAAGTTCCATCCAAATAAATTTCCCGCCTCCATAAAGTCTCTAGTCATTTCTCCTTCTGTAGATCTTGTTTTTATTTTTTTCCCTGTAAAACCATTTTATTGGAAGCCAATACAGCTATCATATCAGTCCATAGTTAAGTCACATCAAGCAGTATTGTACAATTGCTACCACGATCAATTTCAAAACATTCTCTTTATGAACTCCCTTTACCTCGCTCCCCCTCCCCCACTGCTCCCCCCAGGAACCCTTACTGTAGTTGCTGTCCCTGTAGGTTGATCAGTCGTGAGTTTCATATGCTGAAAAACAGCAAAACATATTACAAAAATTCACTGACAAAATACATCAGAGATAAACCCTCATATGAGGAAAAAAAGAAAATGTTGAAAACCAAATCAGGTCCAACGTGTATTAGACGGGGGAATCAACTGGCAAGGTTTTAACCAAGTCAGGTTTATCATTTTGATCTTCATCCCTCTAATGCACTCTGTTTGGTAACCAGTTTCTTCTCAACCCTCCATGATGGATAGATGGGTAATCACTGGAGCTTAGTTCCTGTGTAGATCTCACAAATGAACTTGTGTTTCCACTATCATCCATAGCCTTCTGTAAACCAGAATTTCACAATTTAGGCTCTGATACCATTCCCTCCTTTGGCTTTGTGTTATATATAACCTCTGGTCACTGATGCTGGTGTGCTTCTTCCATGTGGACTTAGTTGACATCTCACTTCGATGGCTGCTTGTTTGGAAACAAGCTTCTAAGACCAGATTCTATTTTATCTGATAGCTGGGTACCATCTAATTTCTTCACCACACTTTGCTATAGCACCCAAATCATCTGTGTTCTGTATCAAGCAGGGCCATAGTATAAGAACTAATTGTTCTTAAATTAGAGCTAGGATTTTGTGTGAGCCCAAAACCCATTCCTGGATCTATGATTTTTTTTTTTTTAATCTGTCTTTGGCTCTCTTTTAGAGACCTTGTTAATTTATGATAGAGTCTTATCAATCATCTGTGGTTCTTATTTTTGCCCACTTTGGGGGCTTTTTTATTTACTGCCTTTTGCTATTATATGTTGTTTTGTGATTTTAAGTTCTTCTGGGCCAGGCTTATCTTGCCAACTAAATTATAAAGATAGACTCTCCTCGAAGGCAAGGGTGTTATACTGCGTATTCCCCATAGAGCATAGCTGGAAAAAAAGATAATAAATAAATGAGTGGCAAGAGATAAATGGAGGGTTGATATGAGGTGCCTTATGGTTGGATTTAGTAGAAGGATGGACATTAAGGGAGGATGCATACATTCATGCACTCTCATCATTCGAAATGCATGAAAGTAGAGATGACTGACTTAAGTTCTCGCATTTCAGGCAAGTACATCGCCTCTACACAGCGACCTGACGGGACCTGGCGGAAACAGCGGAGGGTGAAAGAAGGCTACGTACCACAAGAGGAGGTCCCAGTGTGCGTGGTTAGGCCTGAGGAGGGGATACTTAATGGACTCCCAAAAGAGGATAAAATGGGTGTGCCTGAGAATTCGGGGAAGATGCTCCTGAACACCCAGGAAGTGGAAGGGGAGGCAACTATCTGAGGGGAGAGGAGAGGGCTGGAAGCTAGGGGTAAGTGAAGGTTAGAGGTAACTAATCCTGTTCTATGTCCTCTGTTCATCAGAACCTCCAAATAGCATTCGGAGATCCAGAATGCCTGGAGCTAGGGAGAACACACACACACACACACACACACACGCACGCACGCACGCACGCGCGCGCACTTTCCTGTGGAACTGAGGAAAGTTGGGGAGGGACCATGGAATAAGGAAAAAAGAGGAGGGAATGTAGGATGGAGTGGTTCAGAAGGTTTATGGGGAAAAGAAAAGAAAAGGGGAGTGGGGTGTTTCTGAAAAGTCACTAACTCTTCGAAACTGTTGATACCTTCTTTTCAGGTATGAGAACAAGTATGTGAAGTTTTTTAAGAATAAGCCAGAACTGCCCCCAGGACTGAGTCCTGAAGCCACTGCTCCTGCGACCCCCTTTAGGCCTGAAGGTGGTGAACCAGGCCTTTCCAAAACAGCCAAACGCAACCTGAAGCGGAAGGAAAAGAGGCGGCAGCAACAAGAGAAGGGGGAGGCAGAGGCCTTGAGCCGGACTCTGGAAAAGATGTCCCTGGGAGAGACCGCCCCGCTCCCCAGCACTCTGCAAGGCTGCCACACAGTCCCTGCAGCCACTTCTGACCAGCCTGACTCCGCTGCCACCACGGAGAAAGCCAAGAAGATAAAGAATCTGAAGAAGAAGCTACGGCAGGTGGAAGAGCTGCAGCAGCGGATCCAGGCTGGGGAGGTTAGTCAGCCCAGCAAGGAGCAGCTGGAGAAGCTGGCGAGGAGGAGGGCGCTAGAGGAGGAGCTGGGGGACCTGGAGTTAGGCCTGTGAGGCCTCTGGAGAACAGCAAACGGACTGCAGAACAAACCGTGGGGCTCTCTGGGGTCTTGAGGGACGTGGACAGCAGCAGTCAGGAGGGGTACCCTCAGACTGGTGCACTTCCACTTCTTGCTGCCCAACTCTGTCCTCCCAGAGTCTAGTCTCACCCTCATTTCACACACACGCCCCCCAATACCTGTTTTTGGACTTTGCCCCTCCCATCCCCATTGTCCAAAATCTCAGTGACTGCCCCACTGTACCTTTACTGC